GTTTAGATATATTTTTAATATTATCTATAGCAGTGGTTCTCAACCTTGGCTGCACATTAGAATCACCTGGGAATCTTTTTAAAATCCTGATTCCTGGGCCTCATCCTCCAGAAATTGTTTCTTTGTTATGGGGTGGGGCCACAACATTAGTAACAAAGAAACAGAATTAAAACTTTATTGTTGGGAGCCGCTACGGTGTTTTGGACAGGTTCAAGTCTTGGTCTGATGAGAGGTCACCGTCCTCTCATTGCCACGTGCAAGTCCCAGGTTGGAGGACAGGGCCCTCCCAGCACAATTATAGCCAACAGCTGTAGTTGTAAGCTTGAACCTATGGTCCGAACACATGGCCCCACGTGCCTGAGTGATGTAGCTTGATAGAGTTCAGGTGCATGTAGTTGAGTAGGATTGAAACCCAGGAGAATGTTGTAAACATCTTAGTCATGCCCTTACTTTGCCTCGTAGCATCTGCTATAAAGGCGTGGCTGTGGGCGTGATCACTGTCTCTCAGAGAAGCAGTGTCCCACCAAGACCTGGCTTTCATTCTCTTGTCTGTCTTTTCTAAGCCTTTCAGCCGCCCCCACTCAGGTTCACCCCTGGCCGTGCTGCCGAGGCACACTTTATGAAGATATGCCTCCATGCTCCCAGGGCGGGTTCCTGCCTCAAACCCCACCCTTACAGGAAACAGCTCCGGGAAACAGCTCGGGGGAGGGCACAGCCATTGCCAAGACAACCCCTGAAGGACTGACTTCCTTCCGCTTGGTCGAGGTTCTGGTCGTGATGAACACCACCCAGGGTTTTTATATAAGTAGAAGCCCTCTGCCCTGGGCCTCCCCCGGAGTGTCCACTGGCACTGTGGTCACGGTCTTTTGGCCAGAAGCTCACTGAAGCTGGCTGGTGGGGAGGAAAAATGTTCGTATGGCTTTGCCCTGTCACTGTCCTCACTTCCTATGCCTCACACCCACAATTCTCAGGGAAAATTATCTTTACTTTTATAAAAAATATGTGGGAGATGTAGAAATTCTTTATTTTGGCCTCCACTGTACAGTCGTTGAGGCAGCCAATGACTCAGGGCTTCTGTGGAGGGGGACCTCACAATGTCCCCTGCAGGTCTCCTCACCTCAGATTTGTCTTTTTAAAAAAATATATATATATGTTTTTATTGATTTTAGAGAGGAAGGGAGAGGGAGAGAGATAGAAACATCAATGATGAAAGGGAATCGTCTATTGGCTGCCTCCTGCACACCCCTCACTGGGGACCGAGCCTGCAACCCAGGCAGGTGCCCTGACCGGAATTGAACCGTGACCTCCTGGTTCATAGGTCAACGCTCGACCACTGAGCCACGTTGGCCAGGCAGATTTGTCTTTTTTGAAATACTCTTCAGTAATGCGTTACTCTGCGTCGCAGCCATGTGGTAGTGCAGGGGAATTCTAGTCAATTACAAATCTGTTTGGACTTCATGTTTAAAGGCTGTTTCTTTAAAGGATCCTGCCTGTTCAAATTCCACAAGCCTGTGGGCTCCTTGCAACACCCCTGACTTGAAATTAAGTCTAATTCCAAACAGGACACAAGACGTCAAGACGAGTGTGGCGCTTTGACCCCGTTGATGATTAGCAGCTCGGAGGGGGGCAGGGGGGGGGGAACACTCCCTGAGGGCATTGTCAGAATCTCATGGAGGATGTAAAGTTTGAAACAGCATATTAATGATCGAGATGGAATCTTTATGTGTTATATTTGGGAAATGAAAAATACATATAACAGACTAGAATATAACACTCCCCAGGTTTTCATTGGCTGAAGGGGATGGGTTCAGGGAGGAAAAGTTTGTTTATCAAGGGAGGTGTGGGTTGTACACGGACAACCAGGCTCTGTGCTAAGTGGCTATCTTACAGTGATCTCATGCTTTAGATTTTTCCGATTTTTAAAAAATCTTCTCTGCCTTCTAGCTCGGCCCTCTCGTCCTGCTATAGCCGAGTGTACCAAAGCCTCGCCAACCTCATTCGCTGGTCGGACCAAGTGATGCTAGAAGGTGTGAACTCAGAAGATAAAGAGATGGTGACAACGGTGAAGGGGGTCATCAAGGCTGTGCTGGACGGAGTGAAGGTATGGTCGGTGCCAGGCGGTCCTGGTCAGGGACCTGGAGCAGCCTCCTTGCTGGGTGTTCATCACAGAAGAACTTGTCCCTAAAACCTAGTGAATTAGAGTGAACGTCTGCCAGCGTCTCTGGTGTCGGTGTGCTCTGCCTGGTAGCTGTGTCATTCTCTGTGGTATGAAGGGCTCGTCCACCCTTGGGAGAACTCATCTCCCTTGTCGGAAAAGCTGCCAGAGCAGGCGGCCTTCACCGAGCATTGCATTAAGTCTTCAGCGAGGCTTTGTGTGAAAGCTCTGGCTGTGCGTGCTGGCCAGCCAGACAAAATGCAGTGGAAATGGTTTTGCGTTGACTTTCAGCAAGACGCCCAGCATGTCAGCCGCTTCCTTTTCATGTCCTAAACCAGGGGTGGGCAAACTTTTTGACTCGAGGGCCACAATGGGTTCTTAAACTGGACCAGAGGGCTGGAACAAAAGCATGGATGGAGTGTTTGTGTGAACTAATATAAATTCAAAGTAAACATCATTACATAAAAGGGTACGGTCTTTTTTTTTTTAGTTTTATTCATTTCAAATGGGCCGGATCCGGCCCGCGGGCCGTAGTTTGCCCACGGCTGTCCTAAACACTCCTGGATCCCTTGTAGAGAAGCAGGATGGAGATGCATAGGAAAGGAAGTTGTCTGTGTTTGAAGTCCATGATGTGGTCTGAGAACCTACTTCCCAGGGGAGTCAGAAACAGCATCATGGGACATTCTGGATCCTAGTTAAGGTGGGAGCGAAGGCCACGGGTCTGGGATTATTGAGAAAATGCCTCCTAGGATGAGGAGCAAGGCAGAATGTAGGGGAGGGCCTGGAGGTGAGGACTAGGCTGTGAGCAGTGGGAGTGGAGGCCCTGCTGTTAGGTGAGACCATCGAATGTAGTGGGCCGGGGGAGTAGCCTGGGATCTGGCTAGGTTTGGAGTCCAGGTTCACCACTTCATGTAGTCAAATCTGTCAATATTTTCCTCTATAGTTTCCCATTTTCCCCAGTCTAATATTACAAAAGTGCCTTTATCCTTCTATAGTTTTAGGACTTTAAAAATGCTTAGATCTTTATCTATGACATGAGGTAAGGATCCAGCTTTATTTTTTGGATGAATAACCCATTTTCCACCTTTATTATTTTTTTTAATATATTTTATTGATATTTTACAGAGAGGAAGGGAAAGGAATAGAGAGTTGGAAACATCGATGAGAAACATCGATCAGCTGTAGTGTGTGAATGTGAGCAGTTGACTCGAGTGCTCTGTACCTTAGTTAACTCCTCTATAAATTAGGTATGATAACGGTACCATGTGTCACAGTGCGGTAAGAGGGGTTAAATTAGTTAATGCAAGCAAAGCTCTTAGAGCATTACTTGTCACATATCAAACTTTAGCTGCTGTTGATTATTAATTATGTGGTGTGAGACAGATGCCTAAACAGATCTCTTGGCTTGAAAAAAAAGTGTGTCCTCCTCCTTTCTAGACCTTTCCATCCAAAATTATAGCTGAGGTACTTACGCTAGGTCAAAATTAATTTCTCCCCACTCAGCCATGCTGTCAGATTCCTGAAAGCTGCTCTTGGTTAACGTTCCCCAGAAGCTCTGGAGAGTAGAGTCAGGACCCCCACGGGTAAACATTTCAGAGGGGAGGTTAAGACACCGTTGCTTAGCATCACCAACTGCTCCAGCGTGAGCTGCGGTGGCTGGGAAGGCAGTGCTGCCCACCTCCAGCCCATGCAGGGCCCTGTGTCTGCTGGGACCTTGTGGAGTTTATTTAGAGGGCTTCCAGACTAGATGACATCAAAATTTCTCCAACAGCTCCCAGATTCCCTTCGTTTCCAAAGTGATCAGGTCCTACGTTATCTGTTTGGCAGTGAGACTTAAGGGTGCAGCCCAGGGTGGCTGTTGTGTAAGAACTTACATCACATTCCACAATCAAGTTCAGTCACATACACCATCCCATTCGATCTTTCCAGCAGCTCTTTGCAGCCAGCAGGGCACAGTGAGAGCTGGCCTGGGTCACACTCCGTCAGCGGAGGCTGGGGTTCTGGCTCACACACCCCTGGTCTTCCTGTCCAGGCTTCTGGAAATGCTGTTGTTAGACATTGTTATTTTTCAGGTGACATTGTTAAGGTTTCCCTCTACCAAATTGGTTATGATGAGATGTTCAAAACAAGTGAGAACGTCCAAAATAGAGAGTTTCGTTGTGACATTCCTAAGTAGACTCTCCTTTGTGGAATCATTACACCACCACTGTATGGGGTGATAGAAAAATTTCTCTGATTTCTCATATTGACCAGGATGAGAGGTAGGGAGGGGAACTATAGATTATGAACCTTTCGGTGTCTAAAAGCAAATAACTTTTCCACAATTGTTTTAAAATATTTTAACCAGAACAGATATTTTCTAGGTGAGGTGCTCTGTAAATTCAGTTTTGTTTCATTTATTCAAGAAACATTTATCAAGAGCTCCCTGTGTGCCAGGTAGTGTGATAGAGCTGGGAATATAGTGACAAGCAACACTCGCCGTCCCTGACCTGGCAGAGCTTACAGTCTGAAGGGGGAAAGGACAGCACACAAGAACTGTAGTTCTGTCATTATAACCAGGACGGGTGCTGCAAAGAGGAAATGGCCTGTGTGTGCCCTGGGTGTACAGCTGAGCTTCCTTTCTCAGGATGGTCAGAGACACTTCCCCCAGGAGAGGCAGACAGACTAAAAGCCTGAAGCAGGAGCAGGAATTGGCCTGCATTGTGGGAAGCTTTTTGTAGTTAGAGTCAGTAAAGGCAGCAGGACCATCAAGACTCTATAATGTTGGCATTTGTTGCTGAGGTCTAATAGTAACAGAGCTAACACTTACTACCCACGCAGTGCTTATAACAACTCTCCAAAGTAGTCATAATCGCCCCTTCAAGGGTGTAGACAGTGAGACTCAGACCAGTCATCAGTGGCGAGGTCAAGATTCACACCCAAGGCCTGCTGGACCCCAGGCCCTGTGCACTCCGCATCGCCCTCAGCTGCCGCCACAGGAAGGAGAAGCATGGTCAGCTGAGGGACTCACATGCTCCACCTCCAAGTCAGCTGGCTACCAGCCTCTCTCGAGGTCCCCTTCAGGCTTAGGACACCTTATAAGCCCATGTCCTAGTTATGTGACAGCCTCCGTGGGTTGAGAGAGGTACAGTACATTCATGGGCATGTGGTCATCCCACAGAGAGGAGAGATGCTGGCAAGTTCCTCTAAACTGACTCACCATCTTTCATGTAACTCGTTCAGTTGTTAAATGGAATTTTTAAAAAAGGATTGAAGTGTTTTAACAAACAGGATTACTTTGTTTTGTCCCTGAATGGGGATTATCATTTATTATTTAACTGCCCCATAAATGTGACTCGTTGGCCCTTTAACTTTGGGCAAGTTACTTCTCTGAGTTTCAAGTAGGTTTTTAAATATTTATCCTGAAGAGCTGATGAATGTTTAAGTAAGATCGTGCATATAAAATACCTGGTAAGTGCTAGGTGCCCAGTAAAGGGTGGGTAAGTACTGGTAACTGTAGAAATGTTCGTTTCTAGAACAGCTCCCATTTACCAACTTCACAAGGATTTGTGGCTCTTTCCCATGTAATTTCACAAATCTCAGGTTAAAAGATAAACCTCTGCTATTATCTGATCTGCCCCAGGCAGTGTTTTACCTGTGGCCGCCCAAGGCACAGAGACACAGTGACTCTCCCAGGAAGGAATGTGAAGGCCTTCACTTTCCTGTTCTCAGCGACCTCCCAGCCTAGGACTGGCTGTGTGGGCCAAGCTCCTCCAGGTCAAACACGTACCCCAGATTGTCCTTTCGAAACCTACACCCCAATTCCTCCTAACTTTACCATTTACATTTCAGCTTTTCTTCTCATCTCAGCCTGGGCTCTGCTCTGTCCTCCTCACAGACCTTCTAGGGGTCTCCTCTGCAGGTCTGAGACTTTCCCTGGCCTCCCCACTCCCCCTATTCACACAACGTTGTTATTTATTTTTAAAACCTCATACTGAGAACCTTGGGGGCGGGGGGCTTTGGAATACCTGCAGTTCTGTCACTACCCAAAATGGGGCTTGTGCACCAGATTTACTTTGTGTAACAGAAATATTTTGAAAGAAATGTTCTCCTGACTGTATCAGTTAGGATTAGGTTTGACTACAAGAAAATCTATTATTTCTCTTTCATTATTTCTCTTTCATATATCAGAGGCTCAGAGACCAGCCGTTGTGGCTAATATGACAGTTTCACGTATGGTCAGGGCGTAGTCTTCTGCCATTGCCTTTTTGCCGTTCTTGCACATGGATTCTACCTCATGGTCCATAATGGCTGCTGCCCCTCCATTCATTAGGACCACATTCCACCCAGCAAGGAGAGAGGGAGCAGGAAGCTGTGCCTTCTCCATTTAAGAGTACTTTGTCACAGGCCTCACAAAACTGTCACTTAACATTTTACCTGACCTAGGCACATGCCCAGTAAAATTCTATTCATAAGGAAGAACAGATATTGTGGGGCACCTCGCTGTCTGCCACACTGGCATTTCAAATAAGCCATCTCCTTTTATTCCTCATTCAGCCTATTTTTTAAATTTTGGATGAAAATTTCAAACATTTGCCGAAAAAAGAGAATCATGTAATGAAGCCTCATCACATGGCTCCCACAGGTGTCCTCTGGCGGCCAGTCCTGTTTCTTCTGGGTCTCCACCTGCTCCCTGGCTAATTGGAAGCAGACCCAGCCACCACCTCCTTTCCTCTGTAAATAACGTGATACATAGCTTCGAACAAGACCAACTATTTCTGTAAAGGGCCAGAGAGTGAATATTTTAGGCTTCTCAGGCTACATATATAGTCTCCATTGCATATTTTTGCTTTATATTTTAAATTTAAATGTTCTTGCCGAACCGGTTTGGCTCAGTGGATAGAGCATCGGCCTGCGGACTGAAGGGTCCCAGGTTCGATTCCGGTCAAGGGCATGTACCTTGGTTG